AGCGTGCTCCTATCAAAAATCAAAAAGAATTAGGAAACTTCGCTTCCAAATGACCCTCGCCTTGATATAGGCTTGGACGGCAGGAAGCTGCGCTTTCTTGCGCTCGTCGCAGCTGCTGCAAGCCTCACCAGATCCTCTCTTGCCTTGCTCGTTCGGAGTCTTCCAAAGTTCTCGGATTGCGGCAAGTGCGATGGATCCCTTCAAGCCCCTTGATTCCACCAACTCGTCAGCCGCTATCTTTCTCACTTGGAATGGACTTTCCAACTTCCAATTCTCGATCGGCTGATTCTGGGCTCGCTGATTGGCCAGGGTGATGATTCGGAGATTGAGTTCCAAAGCTCGACCCCAAGCCGCTCGGCCACGATTTGTATCGCGGCTCTGAGGTCGGCGGGCCGGTGGCGGCCCGTCTGGAGTTCAAGGCTGCCGCGCTGGACTGCGGCTCCTTTCCTTCAACCTCACGGAAGGCTCTTCTTCCGATTGGCTCTCTTCTTCTTCTTCTTTCTCGTCGGCTGTATCAGCCGCTTCACCTTTCTTCTTGGCTCGCCTCTCTTTGTTGCGGGCTTTCTGCTCCTGATGCGCCTCCTCAAGTCTTCTGTGATGACACCCTGCTTCTTCTGCAACCTGACCAGGTCCTTGAGCTTCCGATACTGAAGCGAAGCTCTGCTTCGAAATCGGAATCCGGACTTTGGTTCTGGGTGCTTCTTGACCTGGCCCCAAATCTGTTTCTTCACCTGCTTCCTCCAAGGTGCTTTGGGATCGACCTTGGCTGGGGTGTATTTGGCGTGAATGCCACGAACTTCCCAACCAGTCTTAACACCTTCTGGGGAGGTGATGAAATCGGCGATAACTCGGCCAGACGACGGCTGTGCGGCTGGATCAGCCGCTTCAGCCTCTGGCTCAGCTGTCGGGTCTTGTTCAGGCTCTTCTTCCTCTCCTGGTCCTTCTGTTCCTTTTGTATTTTCCTCCTCTTCTTTTGTTTCTGCGGTCTTCTCAGCCGCTGAAGTTGTTTCTGCGGTCTTCTCGACCGCTGGAGTGGTGCTTGCGGCTGGATCCGCCGCTGATGTGGCTGGCAAAGGCTGGTCTTTTACTTTTCCTTCTTCTCCTGTTCCACTCGGGGCGGCAGAAGCTGCCGCTCCCGAGGGTCCCAGCTCCTCCTCCTCGGAGCTCTCGACTTTACCGTGTCTCTCTTCCTTTATGCGCAGCGCTTTGTCTCTGTCACTCTCACCGGACTCGTGCGCTACCATGAAAACGAGGTTTCGACGTTTCGGAACGCCTTTTCACCTTGAGCCAAAACATATCATAAGTCGCGTGTCTGCAGTATCCTAGCGGAGTATTTATGGGCTGTACATGCAAACAGTTCTGGAGACATATATATATATATATACATACTTAAATTTATGCATAGATGCTCGGCAGAATTCCTTAAGAAACGCGGAGATTAACTTTGGAGGTACTTTTTGGTGTTTGTTGATGTCACTATCTTAACCCCAGTATGTCTGGGATTCTAGATTTGTAGAGAGCGCTGACTCAGATTTATATACACACAGCTCTGGCTCTCACTTCAATATTCTTTGTATATATATATATATACATTGCATACCAAGTCCGATCTTTTCCGTTCGTTTCCAGAACGCCGTGTCCTTTATCCCTTTCAAACATTGCACGGCATGCAATAAAACACACTTTCTCGACATCCGTCCAAGTCGCTACTCTCTACAAATACAGTAGCCACTTTCTATAGCTCGGAAGTGTGGCCATGAATCAGTTGAAGAACGTCAATACAGGGCTGGTGTCAAGACACTATCATATTGCATCTACCGTATCAGGAGCACACAAAGTCATCAAGAACCTGCTCACGTCAGGTACAAGCTGCAAAGGAAGGATGTGATTCCAGCACTTATATATATATAGCCATATGCCAGGTTACTTGTTGTGTTGAAACCACAAACTAGTAAACAAAAATAGTATGGTAAGAAGTGTGAATAAAGAACACCTTGCATGGCTTGCCATTCCGGTGCCAAAGGTCAGGTAGAGGGACCCTTAAATGCCACCATGGGAAATGGGTCGCAGGCCATGATTCTGGCCAGGCGGTAGCTCCATGCTGCTAGCCTTGTCAATAGCCGAAGGAAACGGTAGGACACTTAGGTTTTTAGCCAGGCAAAAACTTATTGGAGTATCAAAAAGTATGTACTGTTCCTCTGTCAGACCGAGAGCTTGCTTTCATTCGACCACAATCTAAGGAATTTGCCCTGGCCGCATGAGGCAGCCTGGTCCAAAGTCCGAAGTGTGGATGTGGAGGCTGCGACGACGGCGATTTGGTCTATCCCCTATCAAGGACCAGTGATGAACACTGTACACAAGCGTCCACAAGCTGACCAATATTCTGAACCCTGCAGTTCAGGGCCCACGTCCGTACACACAGTATCAGCATTTGTGTGAGGATCCGTGCAAAAATTTGGATTTCTTGAGGTTTGCTGGGGCTTAGGTTTCTAGGACCTTGGTGTTGGGATCTTAAAGGCCAAGTTCAGGTCTCGAATCTGAAATTGTCTCATCCGTGTTGGAAACTCAATTCCATAATTCCAAAGCCACCATCTTCAGCTTGTTTAAGTCAACCACACGAACTGGGATGTGGGGTGATGTAATTTGCACACGTTTCATGGAAAACGTATACCTAGACCGTCTTTCTATGCTTGTCTCATGCAACATACCAATGAACTCGGTCCTTCCTTGTGTCTTGTTCCTGGAGCAACATTTGGAGGCACGCAGGCCGCAGGCTTTAGACAACTTTTGGAAACTCCTGACACAGTCCCAACCGTGTTTTTTTTCATGTTTTATCAGGCACCTCTGAGATGTAACACTGTTTCGGTATGCGCAGGCCCGGTACAAAAACCAGGTCTGTTAGTGGGGAACAAAAAGTTTTTCTTTTCGGCACGCATGCATTCCAAAGATCGGTTTGCACTTTACATCGGAACTGGGAGCAGTATAAGTATAGGTCACCAGCATGCTGTTTGGAGCACTGCAAGTGAAATATTCCACTCAGACTTGCAAACCACGCGAGGACCTGGTTGCGCCATTGCTTTGTTTGTGTAAGTGACACTAAAGCTTAAACATATTAAAGCTGCGTTGCACGGGTGCAAAAAACCATGAAATTTTAAAGTGGAGCCAATCATGTTCAGCCGCCTCGCACTGAGTGGAACATCGGGCCGGTAGACCAGCTGGTAACCTTGCGAGACACCGATCCGAGCTGCATCCACACCCAACATCGGTGTTGGTTTGTCTTATGGGCCCTAGAGGGGCCCCGAATCCCTGCAGATTACTTGTTAAAACTTTTGCTACACACATCCACAACATTCAAACTACGTTTATGGATCATGACGCATCACATCGAGATATTTATGCTTTTACAAGCTGCCGCTGTGAAACACGCTGTGGACGACAGGCCTGAGCAGCTGTTTTGTGGCGTCGGCCTTGGTGATTGTATCCCGTGAACGGCTTGTGAGCGGCTAGTAGTGAGCAGCTTGTGTCAGCAAGCAGCCGGAGATATCACGCAAACAATCTGAAGTTCCAACTGCCAGGAGTTGTGTCGGTCGCCGGGGCTGTTTTCTAAAAACAGGGCATGATTACCTGAGACGTTGGACAGCATGAGTCAGCAAAAATAGAGACTTTGCTTGCGTAGCGGCGTAGCGCCTTTCAGCCAAGTCACTCGGTGACATGTTCAACGCACCTAATCAAGCAAAAATGGTCTCAAGCACCGAAATACTGACGAACTATGCTAGTAGCGATGGCCTCCACCCTAATAGCGATGGCCTCCAACCTACTAGCTTCTTGTTCCTAGAAGTAGTGCCCCTGTTACTATATAGTAGCTTCTTGCCACTAGTAGTAACAGTAGTAATACTGCTGAAGAACTATAAGCAAAAATGGTCTCAAGCACCGAAAATCTCACCAAACATCATCCTCTGCTTCGCCATGCCTGGCCTGCCATGCCCAGTGCCACGGAGCTTCCTGAAACAACACAATTTGAGTTCGATCTGGATCAAAAGTGGATGCCCTGAGTGAATCCATTTGGTAAAAGGAGAGAAATACAAGCAAGTGAACCTGAGCTCTAGCCAATGAGGTTGAACAGGAATTCGAAGACTGCAAGGCAAGAGCCAGGATGAACGCACCATACCTTGTCTGGCCATCATTGCTGGAGACTTCTGAGGCGCAACAGGCTCCTGCAAGAACCCGAGTGTTGTGTTTGTGCTAGCTGATGTCTTTGAAAGAGCCATCGCATATATAACTACTGGGCTTCACTGACCATGCAACTTCTTACCCTATGCTGCTTTACTTATCACAAAGCTCAAGCTAGAGTAGAGCTGAACCGAGAATTCACGCGGACGAGTAACTCAGGTCCTCTTCGCAGGTCTTTTTTGGAGGTGTTTGAGTCCTTCAGAATCTCCAAACAAAGGGCAGCCAAACCATCGAGCCAGCCATTGCCACTGTTGCCACTGCCAGCAACGACTGGTTAAACAATGTTGCACGATGTTACACGTGAGTTCAATGGTCATTTGATGATGATGTCAAGAGATATCATGGCCCCCTTCACGCGGAGTTCCGTTGAGGTCTTGGCGGTGGTGAAACCACTCGAGTGTCCTGCCCGCAACTGGCCATTTCAATTGAGCCTATCCTGTGGGTCAAACTTTGTGACTAACATTTTCCAGTGACAAGAAGTGGCCAAGCATTTGGGGATCTCGCATCCTTTCCACGGATCTTGCATCCTGGTGGCCAAGGCCTAAACATATGAAGCAAAGGAGTGCGAATTGTCCTCCCGACTAGCGCCGAGGCGTCTTCCGCTGCACGGTGCCTGAGTCAAAATGATCGGGGAACAAACAAAAATATATAGAATTAACAACATAAGCATACATAAACCGAAAAGAGAGGCTCAAAGGAGCTACTGCTGAATCGAAGGAGCTGGCCCTTTTTCCAGCAAATGCAGCACGCCAGTACGGCATATCAAAAGCCTATCCATGACCCTGTCGAGTTGAAAGCCTCCTGCCGTCCATTGAGCCCTCCAACAATAGGTCCGAAAGCTTTTGAACGGGAGGCATCTCATCTGGCTTAGGCCCCATGAATCCAGCGGCGCACCCCAACAATACTAAAGCCATACCTACGAGCTTTGATGTCCCTGGTACGGCCCCAAGAAGCACAAAGTTCAAACCACACATTGGCACTGCATTGCTATCAATCAGTGCTGTGGCCAATGCCATCTTGGCCTCAGGGACTTCATAGGAAAGGACGACTGACAAAAGGCCCAGCATGGATGCAACAGCGTTCAGCGAGGCCCACATCAGAACCTCAAGATGTAACGCAAAGAGCAATTTGCCGCACAAAGAGAATCTCAGTACAACAAATCCCAGAAAGCCCGAAGAAAGCACAATTGCCAATGACTTTGGCCGCTCTGGTAGCTCCTCCTCACCAGCGAAGCGGATGGTTATGATCGACAAGGCATAGAAAAGGGTTGAAATACAAATCCATGCAAATGAAGAAGTGAAGGACGAGGAGGAAGAGTTGTCGAAGCCACTTGATTCCTCCGGTGAGTCATTCCAAAACATGCAAGTAATTCCTCCCATGATTGATGCGCAGCCAAGAAGTTGAATCTTGGACAAGGTTTCATTGCTCCAAAAGTAGAAAAATATGCCAACAATCGGTACATTGGCAATGACAATTGATTGGAGTGGCCCTGAGTCCACTTCGTCCAGCGAAAAACTCATGCAAGCCGAGGTTTGTGCCAAGGCTATCAAGGCTCCACTCGCAACAATCCAAAAGCGCTGCATTCTTGAGGCTTTCCATAGATCCCTAGCTTCTTCCTTGAAGCTCGGGCAAGTGCAGGCCACCAAACTGGATCCTAGTGCAGCTACACAAAAAATTGCCAAAAACATCATTGACATGTACTCGGCGGGCTTGAGCAAACGGCCAGCGTAGGCGATCAAGAAGTTGTCGAAGCCGAAGAAAACCTGTCGAAGCACTTTCGAGAATTGTCTAAGATCCAAGGCGGCTTTGTGGGTGAGCGTTTTATCTTCTGGCGTGAGAATCCAAAACAAACAAAAGAAACACTGAAAGTTACTGTCACTGTTTTGTTGTTTGAGTCACTTTTGACCAAGCTGCTGATGCCAAGGAGGCCAAGAACAAGCTGGAACGCGTGGGCCGAGTCGCCGTAAGCAAGTGGCACAGCAACAAACTCACGAAGACCGCCAAAAGCAAGACGGTCGAAAGGAATAATGCCATTGCCAATTGCTATCATGTGACCTTCGGATTAGTGTCGAAGTTCTATAGTTGGCTTGGCGTTTAGCAAGAGTCCAGAAAAGAATCTGAACAAGATCTTGTGACGAGATCACTGAAGTATCACCAAAGTATCTCGGGATCTTTGAGCACGTTGGATCACCCGTCGACACAGCATCTGGTCTTGTCACAACCTGTGTTCGTGAATGCATCAGGCAATCGCCTAGGACGGTTGTGGGCCCAAAAGCTCTGGTCTCCCAACTCATGAACCTAAACAGAGTGTAGCTCCTCAAAATTGTTGCCTTGGCAATATTGGTTGGTATCTCGTATGACCACTTGCTGCATGATGTTTCAAGCTGCACCTCAAGTGACTCATTCTGCAACGCTCATGTGCACTGGCAGTTCCCAACCACACTGAATCGAATACATTAAACAACGGACTAGACTAGACTGCTTAGTCTCGTCAGATTTCCGTGCTCCTGTCTGGTCAGTCACGCTGATTTTTCTAGAGGTTGCTTCTATTTTAGTACGTGGACAAGCCCTGACATGGCTTGGCAAGGTTAAAAGCGTTTGAGGTCCGGGCCCGACGATCTGGGCTTTCCAGCCTGCAGCTAATTCAATAGCAAGTCTCGTGCAGAGCTATTTCAGGGCCTGCCCGTGCGACGAATCCGTCCCACTGGACATGCCTTGGAAGCGGGTGCCCAAAACAATAAACCCTGCCCGATCGACCTGGCTAGCCAAGAGAGTCCACGCTTGAGCATTTCATAAGGTCCAAACTGCGCTGGCTGGTCCCGAGGGTTTTGGCCATGGCATCTCTTGCCTTCAGGGTGATGTGTACAAGTCATTTGCTTTTCGACTACGACACAGGACTTGGCGAGAAACATTGATTCAATGAACCGTTGATTTGCTTTCAATTTCAAGCACCAACGTACACTCTCAACGTGCTATGCTGGGTTTGCCTCAGGTTCCTTGCCGGTACAAGGGCAGACGCTGGTGTGCCGGAGTCCTCAAGAGCGTGCAGTGGCTTGCAACAAGAATGGTCTGAAAAAGGTCTTCCGAGTCTTTGGCAGGGTCTGGCCTAAGGGCAGTTGACACATCATGACAATGCACGTGACAATGCCAACACTTGGAACGTCTGCGGTTTTGGTCGTAAATAAACGTGAGAAGACATGAGAAGACCATCTCCCAAGACTGAAACAGTTGCCAGCTGTGCATGACACAAGGCCTAATGTGGGCTGAGCTAAAAGCTTTTCTGATCGCCGTGGGCTAGTGGTGCGCCTTGGTTTGAGGATCCGAATCATGAGTTGTCATGCCTCTGGAACAAAGTGCAAAATGCTGTAGCAGTACTATTTTCAAATGACAGCGCCCTGTTGCAAGTGAAACTAATCATCCGAGGAACGTCCGCACATGAAGGCATGTTATGTGCAGCATGCTTTCAATTCATATTGATATTGTCTGACTTCACAAACGCAAAATTTTAACCTTACCTCTTGGACATCGCCATTGTATTGCAAATGACACCGCTTCTTTGGCAGCTGGCCCTGGCCATGCCTCAGGGTTGTGGCCATCCTGCAGGGCACCAACATGGAGGAAAACAGCATGACGACTTCAACTTGCCGGACCTACCCAAAACTGATGTCTTGGGTTTGACAAGTTTGATCAACAGCCTCTCCAAAAGTATCTCCAATAGCACGCATTTAAGTCAGCGGCGCTTGTTCGACGTGGAGGTGGCACATATAGAGAGCCACCCTGAGAAGTTGTGAACGGCACATTCAGTGTCCCTGCTCAGGATGCTCATGTTTTCTGTCGGTGGTCGCTTCCTTCAACAGCAAGGTCCAACACTCTACTTCAACACTTCAGTGGCCTGGAGTGTATCTTTTGAAGATTTTGAAGGCGCATTGACTGATGATGCATTTCTCTATTGACTCCATCGTGTATTCATGTTTTTCTTCAAACAGCTTCAAGGCTCTTGGGCCCAGCAGTTCCTGTTCCACGCTGGGATGCTCAATCCACACGTTCCACAGGACCCGCCAGGCTGGCTGTACAGTCGAGTGTCTCAAGAGTGGGACCCTCACACGCTCAAAATTCACAAATCCTTCCGAGCTCAGTCTTTCCAAAGGCCCTTCTTACGAGTTGATCTATTGAGGGGTGCCCCTGTACCCAGCACTTATTTGCAAACACTCACATGAGACTCCCATTGGGCAAATCCTGCCGCAAAACTAATGCACCCTCCTGCGGGCTCAAGCCATCTCAAGCCCACTATTCGAGTTCCAGTGCATGCCAAAAATGTGCGAAGTTTGCATTCCAACAGCGCAACAACAGCTTCATTTCACTATAAAATAGTATAGATATATAGATAAACTCTAAACGCATCTAAACGCTATGGCTATATATTATTAGATATCGGCATATCGTTCTAATAGCACTATACGCTATGTGAAGATTCCTCCTGAATCTTAGGTTCACTTGAGATGTGCAGTGGTGGAGATTAATCGACACGATGTTTCTCGGCCGAGCTTGGGTGGGATCAGGCCTTTGAGCTCACGGCGCGCCATGGTGAGAAAGTGTGATTGAGATCGCACGATCGTGTTTCGGTGGAGACTTCGTGTGCTTCGCTGGTTAGAGAGTTTGGAGTGTCTACCATCAACTCTTGCTGTTGGTAGCGGAGCCCTGGCGGGCTGCCGCGTTGCTTGGTTGTGCATTGACATTGCTGGCGTTGTGTTGACATTGGTTGATTGTTGACATTGAGTTGGCATGGCTCCCAAACAACAGCAGTCGAACGGTCCAGGGCAATCTACCAGTTCGCAAGCTGCAGCAGGACAAACAAATGTCCCTAGTGGAGTGAGCACAGCAAAACTCGACAACTATGTTCCAGTTTTTAGCAACAACATGCAGGACTACCGTGAGTTTCGCAAACGCTGTGAAATCTATAGAAAGAAGATGCAATCGGGCAATCACACAAGTGAAGTTGTCTACAACCTAGTCACCCTGATGACTGGGAAGGCATGGGACTTGGTCGAGGACATGACCATGGATCAGATGTCAGGAGATGATGCATATGATCTGTTGTTCCAGAGGCTGGACAGAGGATTTCCTTTTGATCCCCTGACAGAGTTGCCGGACGACGTTGAACAGTACTTCGTGAAGCTGCAAAGGAAACCACAACAGACATTACAGGATTACATGAACGACTACACCCGTTGTGAGAGAAGGCTGAAGGTGACGCACAACGTTGACCTGCCAGAAAAAGTGAGAGCTTGGTGGTTTCTTTGTCGCTCAGGGATCAACAAGGAGAAGCGTCAACTCATTCTGACCAATACAGGAACCACTGGCTTGACCATTGAAGAGGTGATGAAGTCGATGAGTTTCATTCTTGGACAGGATTCGACACTTCAATCTTCATCCTCAACCAGGTGGACAAGACCCATGGGCAAGTCAGTTGACACATTTTACTGTGATGAAAACGCACAGCAGTATGATTGGACAGCTGGATCGCAAGAGTTCGCAATTGATCCCTCTCCAACATACTATGGTGAAGATGACGAATGGGACGATTGGCAAGATGGGTCGACAGAGCAATTTGAGGACATAGCATCGGCAAAGCATTGTGAGCAGGTGTACGATGTTGATGAATATGATGCAACATGCCAAAGCTCAGATGAACGCCCTTCGGACCTCTCGTGGCTTCTATCCTGTTGTGGCCATACTGCCGAGTGCAGCAGGAAGTCCCTCGGGTGGAAAGAGTCGCAACAAAGGTGGATCGAAGTAAGTCGAAAGGCAAAGGAAAACCAAGTTCCAAAGGAGGCAAGTCTGGAAATCCCAAAGCAAGAGCAGCCGCAGCAATGGGTTCTGGACGTCAACTATGTTTGAGGTGTGGCAATGCCGGACACTGGGCAAAGAACTGCCCCACGCCACCAGGTTCTGACAAGAAGAGGAAGATCGGAGATGAGTTGGAAGGTGGCGTGAACATGGTTGAGTCGGTTGATCCTCCAGAAACAACAACATTGTCGACAGAAGCCTTTCACATTGACATGGAAGACGATGATTTTGTTGGTGATGACACAGCAGTGCAAGACGGAGGTGCAGCAACGGTGTTGGGTTCAGCATGTCAGATTCGCAAATACCTTTGGTTTCTGCTTGAGCAAGGGTTCAACATTAATGACATCCCCATGCTTTGTTGTGCAAAGGGCTTCAAGTACGGCAACAGCATGAAAGAGACAACAAACAAGTGCATTGTTTTGCCCGTGTTCCTCAGCAACAGCCGCATTGGTGTGTTGACATACGTCATTCAAGGAACAGCCCCGATTTTGGTTGGACGACCAATGTTGGAACGATTGGGACTCACCGTTGACTACCGGGCCAAGCAGATGAAGTGGCCAGATTCAGAGTGGGAGGAACTCCCAGTTGGATCAAGATGTGAGCACCTTTTGCACCTTGGCAAAGACATTCGTCAGTTCATTGAGCAGGAACCCCAGATGGTTTTGTTGCCAAAGGATGTTGAATCACACGTTGGCGAGCCCATCGCGCATGGAGTGCAGAAGTTGCTGGAACAGGTCATGGTCTCAAAGGACGTCAATCTGGCGTCGGAAGCTTCGCAGACAGCATCGCCGGCTCACACACATCGTGTGAACGACGGCTTTGATGAGGAGGCACAGGTCAAAAGGCTACATGGCCACATGCTGAGGAAGTTTGAACGTCAAGCTGAAGAGGCATGCAGGCTGGAAGACAAGATTATGAGGGTCAGTCAGACCATTCAGAAGGAAACAACGTGTCGTGTGATTTGGGGAGTTTTTGTTGGCGAAGGTCGTACTTCAAAGCATCTTTCTTTCCAAGTACCCTCATGTTGTGACCGAGGTCTTCTCATTACAGACAGGTTGGGACTTTCGCATCGGGTCTCATCGGTCCAAGTTCCTCCAAAGGCTTCGTGAAGAAGAACCAAATGAGCTGTTGATGGCCCCAATGTGCAAGTTGTGGTCCCCAATTCAGGAGCTCAACATCGCGAAGTCAGAGAAATACAAACAGAAGCTGGTGGAAGAACGTGAATACAATCATGATACGATCTTGACCATGTGTTCCGTTGCATATCAAGAGCAATACAAAGGTGGTCGCCATGCAACAATGGAGCATCCTTGGTTGAGCAGAGCGTGGTCACCAGAGCTGTTGCTGGTTAGAGGAGATCAGTTACGATGCATATGTTGACCAGTGCATGTATGGCAATGTTTGGTTTGACAGTTCCCAACCATGAAGGCAAGCCCGAGCTGGCAAAGAAACCAACATGCTTCAGGACAACAAAGAAGAGTCTGTTTTGAAGGACTCTCATGGCAGTGCGATGGTTCGCACACTCATGTTCCTATCGAAGGGAACGCCCCAGGTGGAAAGAAACGCAGTGCATTGGCAGAGAGCTACCCAGAGCGTCGCAGAAGAGGACGATGACATTGAGATGCAACCAGTTGAACAACAGCCACAACAGTTGGAAGCAGAAGTTCCAGATGTTGAGCAAGACATTCTCAAGTACTATCGCGAAGATGCTGACAAGGAGGTGGACTCAGTGACGAGCAATGCACAGCTTCAGAAGCAAGTCGGCAAAGCAGCATTCAACTATGTGGTGAGATTGCACAAGAATCTCGGACATCCCAGGATGGAAGTGCTATGTCGCATGCTTGAGGAGGTGCAGGCAACAGACAATGTCATGACAGCAGCAAAACGATATGTGCATCCTGAGTGCTACATCAGACAAGGCCCTGCTGGAGTTGCACCAGCAGCTGGACTCACTGCCAGAGTTTTTGGTGAACGTCTCCTTGCAGACACAGCATGGATCGACACTGATGATGGCAGAGTTTGTGTCATGACATTGATGGATCAAGCAACTCGTTACATTGCCATTCGGGTCATGAAAAGTGAACAGTCGGTTGACCTAGTGAAGGGCATTGAACGAAGTTGGATCAAGCACTTTGCAACTCCCAAGTATTTGAGGGTTGATGAAGGCAAGGGCTTCGCGGCACAATATCTTCGAGACTGGTGTTCAGAGAGGCACATTGTTCGGGAGATAGCTCCAGCAGAGAGTCACAACTGGATTGGCTCCATTGAGAGGAAGCACCAAGTTGTTCGCAAATGTGTCGAGATCTACATGCAGGAGCGTGGCCGCAGAGACAAAAAGACACTGACTGAAGCAGCTATATATTGTCCAGGTCAGATCAACTCATTGAGCTACACCAGAGGATTTACACCAGCTCAGTGGGTTCTTGGACGATCAGCAGCTGACACCTACAGTTTGACATCGGCAGTGTTCAATCCCAATTTGTCGCCCATGAATGATCCATTAGATTTCAACCAGATTCTGTCCAAACGCCTTGCTGCACAGATGGCATTCTTGAAAGCAGATTCTGATGCAAGACTTCGTCGAGCAATGCAGCAGAACTTCAAAAGGACAAAACATCGCATTGCAGTTGGACAAATGTGCTACTACTGGCGCATTCAAAGGTCAGGCATCCTTCAAAAGAACAAGTGTCGTGGACCAGCCCGATGTGTGGCAGAAGAAAAGGATGATGAGGGCAAACAACTAGTTCTCTGGTTGTGTCATGGCACGTCTCTCCTCAGGTGCTCGCCCCATCAAGTCCGCCCCATGGTGAAGGATGCAGGTCTTCACAAGCCGGTGGATACCTATGCAGCGCTTGAAATCATTGAGAGCCAGGAGCACGACCCAGTTCGAAGATGTGATGCAGAGAGAGGAACATGAGATTGAAGATCTCATGGAGTATGACCAAGAAGATGAAGGCTATGAACCAACAGAAGTTCCATCCGACCATGAAGCAGAGCAAGAAGTTCCAGATTCAGAGATGCCAGGAGCAGTTCTGATGTATCAACGTGGTCGCAATGGAGCATTGACAGACAGACCTATGTCCAGAGGTTCACCTTCGACAAATGTCCCAGAACGCCCTCCTTCCCTCATTGGTGAAGAACATAAAAGAGAAGCAGAAGGAGATGTTTCTGAGATGGCATTGAAGCGTGCGAGAAATGCAATTAGCATCCCAGTTCCCGACAGTGATGAGGATCTTTTCGTTGAGGACGCCTTCATCGTGGAGATGGAAGCTGGCACATTACCCAAAGGCTGGCGACTCATTGATGGAGAGTTTGAGCTGGATGAGGCATTTCTAGCAGAGGTCAGTGAGAAGTATAGAAACAGCCGTTAAGCTGCAACTCCTGTTTTGGGCCGCGAGCT